GGAGATGCCACAGAACGCGGTAGACGCAAAGGATTGCAAATGAGAGGAAGCCTGCCTCGAAGGTCAGAATTGGGGGGCCTCCCGCCCCGTGGAGCCGTGGTCCCACGAATTTGGGAGGCACGTCGCCGTTCTGCTGCCCACGACGTGGGAACATGCTTGCGAGGTGTTTTCCTCCAGTGGCTGGGGGCGCTCTACCTCAATTTCGGCATCCCCCTTCCGCTGAGGACTTGCATATCGATTGACGGACACACGCAGCGAGCCTTCCTGTGTCGGCTGCCCGCCGCCCCTCACCCCTTTCACGCTGCCGCGAGGTCCCCCCCCCCCCCCCCTCCTTCCCCCCCCCTCCCCCTTGGTGGCCATATAGTATACCCCCCGCGTGGCTCTCGGGGTGTCTTGGTCTTCTCTAGGTTATGATGCCCTCGCAGTCTTGACTCCTGGGTCTGTTCGTACCTTATACGCCGGTGTGCGTGACCCTGGGGCCCAGTCTTGAGGCCCGTCGGGGCCCGCTGGGCCCCTTCTGAACCACATGACCTTTAAAAGTCGTCCGACGGGCGCACTCTCCCGAATTCTACACGCCTGCGTGTTTCACTTGAAACCCCTCGAGTTTAACACACCACTTCCATATGCGAATCTGCCGATTTCTGTCCACTCCGTTCGACAGTGCACGGACAAGGGGGGACGCGGGCCCATAGTCTTATTTATGTTTCCTCTTCCTTTTCCTCATCCTCCTCCTCTTCCTCCTATTCCTCCTCCTCCTCCTCCTCCTCCTCCTCCTCCTCCCCCTCCTCCTCCTCTTCCTTCTCCAGTGCGCAACATCGGCTGGTGAGGAGCATGCTCCCAGCAAGTGCCGCATACTTCGCCAGTGCTGTCCGCCCTCTGCGCCCCTCCAGCGGTCAGTATGCAGCAGCGTGCGTGTGCTGCCAGGGATGCTCGGTGCCTGCAGCGTTAAGTCGGGCACCTCCTTCTGCAGTCGGAAAATTCAAAGCATAGACAAACACACAGTTTTGGATCGATGTGTTATGTTATGTTTGGCACTTGGTTTGAACATGGTTGACGATGTTTCATGTTTCGTCCAAAATCCGTCTGTAGGGAGGCGCGCCCGACCCAATTGTAGTGCCGTATCAGTTGGCCTGGGGCCCGTCCCACCGCCGAGCTTGGGTCTGAGGTCTCGGTCCAGGGGCCATCAGTCGACCCATGGACCTGCCATGGGGAACGTATTGACCAGAAACCTTGGAGGCCGCCGCCCAAACCAGTTATTTTGCGACGTACCCAACCCATTTTGCGAACACCAGGCGGCGATGAGCAGGACCGCCAAACACACGAGGACACACAACAAAGGGCTTGTTGTATTTGGAACGTCTCGCCAAACAAACATCGGCCCAAACCCAACGCAGCCCATGCACGCAGTAGCGGTGGTCCAGTCTGGATCGGCAGTACGTATAATCCGGATGCGCGTACAGTTGCGCGCACAGAGACCTACAAGAATGGCGACGGTTGCGTTGGTGGCAGCCTCTGCAAGGGTGTCACGAGGCGATCGTTTACGTATTCGTTGTTTTGCCGATCGGCGCGGGCCTTCGCACCCCCCCTCTCACCTCCTCATGGATTGGAGATTGGCCGTTATGGGCGCCTGTTTGGAGCAGGTGGGGTCTCCCCCACAGGACGCACTACTGCAAACAGCCGCACTAAACAGTGGCATGGAGCCAGATACCCCCCCCTTCCCCCCCACGAGGTCTAGTCAGGGTGCGCGTAGAGCATCATTCCGCTCGACCTCGCAGGGGCCCACGAAAGTGGCGACGGTTGCGCAGTTGGCAGCCCCCAAGGAAGCCGCGAGGTCTTGTTTGGATGTGCGTGAGACACCAGTCCGCTTGAACTCCCAGGAGCCCACGAAAGTGGCGACGGTTTCACAGATAACTGACCCCAGGGACGCCGTTGTCTAATTCGGATCCGCGCAGGAGCCAGGAGGAGCCACAAGGTAGGAGGTAGGAGGCAGGACGAGGAAGAGCAGGGAGGCAGGGTGAGGACGGAGACTGCCGTGCTCTATTCTACAAGAGAACCCAACACAGGAGGTTCGGGAACAGGTGCCTCGACCACGGGAAGGCGGGGGAAACAACATCTAGATGTTTGATCGGCCCTCCTTCCTTGGAGGGTTTCCCGGGGGCCTCCTGGGGCCTTGCATAGGAGAACGAAGAATGGCATGAACATACCAGCTCGGAGGTCCGCGCGGGTTTCTCGGATCCGCGCTGGACCCACCTGGCGGCGCCTCCGGCGCCGCCCCTGGCCCGCTCCGCGCACCAGGGAGGGGGGTCCAGCGCCGATCCGGGAAATCCGCGCGGACCTCCGAGTTTTTATGTTTATGCCAGTATTCGTTCCTTTATTGCAGTCTGTGACGGCGCGATGTTGCCAACCCACGACAGCTTCTGATCGCACGGTGGGCCCACGGATCCCACGGGCACCCTACGGAGCTCAGATCGACGAAGGGCGCGCCCCCAAACCTTCTTCTGGCACGACCTCTCTGCTCGTTTTTCTGTGCTCACTGCAGCGGCCCGTGGCGCATCCCAACCACTGTGCCTGCGTCTCTGGAGGAGGAGGAGGAGGAGGAGGAGGAGGAGGAGGAGGAGGAGGGAGGAGGAGGAGGAGGAGGAGGAGGATGGAAAGGAGGGGAGGAGGAGGAGGAGGAGGAGGAGGAGGAGGAGGAGGAGGAGGATGGTGATGATGATGGCGATGATGGCGATGATGATGATGATGATGATGATGATGATGATGATGATGATGATGATGATGATGATGATGATGATGATGATGATGATGATGATGATGATGATGATGATGATGATGATGCCGATGATGATGCTGATGCTGATGCTGATGCTGATGCTGATGCTGATGCTGATGCTGATGCTGATGCTGATGCTGATGCTGATGCTGATACTGCTGATGACGATGATGGTCATGATGATAATGGTGATGAGCATGATGATCATGATGATGCTGATGATGATGCTGATGATGATGATGATGATGATGATGATGATGGTTATGGTTATGGTTATGGTGGTGGTGATGGTGGTGATGATGATGATGATGGCGATGCTGATGATGGTGATGATGGTGATGATGATGCTGATGATGCTGATGGTGATGGTGATGGTGGTGATGATGACAATGACGATGATGGTGATGATGATGATGATGGTGATGAGGAGAAGGAGGAGGAAGATGATGAGGATTATGAGGATAAGGATTATGAGGATGAGGATGATGATGATGCTGATGATGATGAGGATGATGATGCTGATGATGATGATGATGAGGATGATGATGATGATGATGATGATGATGATGATGATGATGATGATGATGATGATGATGATGATGATGATGATGATGATGGTGGTGGTGGTGGTGGTGGTGGTGGTGGTGGTGGTGGTGGTGGTGGTGGTGGGCGGTGGTGATGATGATGTTGTTGATGATGAGGATGGATGAGGATGAGGATTAGGATGAGGATGAGGAGGAGGAGGAGGAGGAGGAGGAGGAGGAGGACGAGGAGGAGGAAGAGGAGGAAGAGGAGGAGGAGAGCAGGAGGAGGGAGGGGGATGAGGGTGGGGGAGGAGGGGGATGAGGAGGAGGAAGAGGAGGATGGGAAGGAGGGAGAGGAGGAGGAGGAGGAGGAGGGAGGAGGAGGAGGAGGAGGAGGACGAGGAGGAGGAAGAGGAGGAGGAGGATGGGAAGGCGGGGGAGGAGGAGGAAGAGGAGGAGGAGGAGGAGGAGGAGGAGGAGGAGGAGGGCGAGGAGGAGGAGGAGGAGGAGGAGGCCAAATTTTAGAAATGTGGCAAATCCCATATGTTTTTTGCACCCTGACCCTATGGATCTGCGTGAGGGACGCCGCCGAATTTCAGAAATGTGGCAAATCCCATGTGTTTTTGGACCCTGACCCTGCCGATCTGCGTGAGGGGTGCCGCCGAATTTCGGAAATGTAGCAAATCGCATGTGTTGTTGAACCCTGACACTGCCGATCTCGGTGAGGAGTGCCGCCGAATGTCGGAAATGTGGCAAATCCTTTGTGTTTTTGCACCCTGACCCCGCCGATCTGCATGAGAAATGCCACCGAATATCAGAAATGTGGCAAATCCCCTGTGTTGTTGGACCCTGACCCCGCCGATCTGCGTGAGGGGTGCCACTGAATGTCAGAAATGTGGCACATACCCTGTGTTGTTGGACCCTGGCCCCGCCGATCTGCGTCAGGGGTGCCACCGGATGTCAGAAATGTGGCAAATCCCTTATGTTTTTGGACGCCGATCTGCGTGAGGGGTGCCACCGAATAGAAATGTGGCAAATCCCATGTGTTGTTGGACCCTGACCCTGCCGCTCTGCATGAGGGGTGCCACCGAATGTCGGAAATGTGGCAAATCCCTTGTGTTTTTGGACCCTGACCCCGCCGATCTGCGTGAGGGGTGTTAATTTTTACCCACCCCAGCAATTCAGACAATACAATTTCTCCGTGGTGAAAATGCCCGTTTTGGGCCTCCCCCCCTCGCGCGGTCCATCAATACGGGACAGTAAGCAGCAAGAAGTCAACAAGGAACAGTCAGCAGCAAGAAGCAGAATTGTAACAGTGGAAATTGGAAGCTGCAACTGGTACAGGAAACTGCGAACCTTCGCCTTACAGCCTGGTGGCCCCACAAGGGGGCCGGCGGATCTATGTGTGTCTCTCTGTCTCTCTCGCTCCTTTTCTTTCTCTTCCGCCCTTTATACATGCAGGTGCTGTGCTATGCTTGGTGTTATATCCAGCTGCTCCAACACAGGGCGCGCAAACGACCTCGCGCCCTCCAAGGGGAAGGAGCTTTCCACTGCCGTGCTGGGCAGGTTGGTGTTGCGTTTCGTTTGTCGCGCGCTCTTCGCCGTTCCCCATTCGACGTTCTCGCATTGCCCCCCAGACTTCCTCATTGCCCGTGTCGAATTAAGTTTCCTGCCACTATCTTCTTGTTTCGGTTCTCACCTAGGTGCGCCTATGAGGAAGAGCCCGCGAACGCCAATGCGCCCAAGGCTCCGATCACCGAGATGATCACAGGCGTAGAGCGTTTACCCCACCAGAAGACACGTCATTGGATACGCAGCCGAGCATGCTAATAGGGGTGGCGATGGTGGATTCCACGTTATCTGGAAGCAATACGAGCACGTTGCGTGCGCACGTGCATCACCGTCTTGTTGCGCGCCCTGGCTTGTTGTAATATGCATGCGTATGCACATGTGCGGTCCAATGATGTGTGTACAGGCCCTCGAAGACGAGGCGCGGGGTCGAGGAACAGAGACTCCGACACCCCATGGTCGCCTCGGGGCCTCTGGACGGGGCTCTCTCTTGGCTCTGGGGGCTGGTTCGGCGCTGTCTGGGCGGACCGCCGTGGGACGGCCTCGGGCACCCCCAGGAGGCACGAAGCCGCCGTAGGTGTTCCCGCGGGCTCGTGCCACCTCGACGCTGGCGCGGGCGTTCCAGGTAAGACGCCTTCCGGGGCATCGTTTCGGGCCCTGGGGTCAACCAGTAGGAAATTCCGCGGCACGAAACCCACACGAAAGATGGGGGCGATAGCCTGTGGAGACCTGCGAGGGCGGCTATCGTTCAAGATTGAACGGTCTACGCGGTGTCGGGAGCCAGAGAGGGGCGCTGAGATCAGCGCGCTTCGCGCTTCGCGGTCTGGTTGGAGGGCCCCCCTTCTTCGCCAGGATGGCCGCGCGAGAGCTCGGAGATAAGCACACGCCGCGCGCCGCGCGATGAGCGCAGGCAGGTGGCCGCCGCGCGAGAGCTCGGAGATAAGCACACGCCGCGCGCCGCGCGATGAGCGAAGGCAGGTGGCCCAGGCCCACGCCGTCAAGACAGGAGCAGCGTGTCGCAGAGGGGGGGGAGGGGCGCCTGCGGTCGGCTCTGGCCAGGACCCCGGGTTAAGGAGAGCCAGTCCGTGATTGGGCCCCGAAGGGAGGAGGAGGAGGAGGAGGAGGAGGAGTAGGAGGAGGAGTAGTAGGAGGAGGGGAGGAGGAGGACGACGAGGAGGAAAAGGAGGAGGATGAGGAGGAGGAGGAGGAGGAGGAGGAGGGGGAGGAGGAGGAGGAGGAGGAGGACGAGGAGGAGGAGTAGTAGGAGGAGGACCCCAACAGTGAACCAGAATGACTGAGCCAGATCTGTCGTAGCTGGTGTTACTTCCGATGGCGGCAGTTCCGGTTGGTGGAATGGGGCGGGGGGGGCGCGTCCCCTGGTGCACGTCACTCAACCAGGTCCCTCTGAGCCCAGCCCCCGCAACGCCCGACGGAGCTTGACACCTGCGCGCCCGGGCGCAGTGGGCACGCGTGCCCCGCAGGGTTTGTCAGGACCACCCGCGCACCACTCCCCTCAATCGCTCGGCCGCGCACGGTGGGGCTGAGCGATAGGGGCGACCTTCTTGAAAGCCTCCATCCAATCCCTTCGGATAAGCCCCCCGGCCTTCTAAGACGGCCCATCCCGTCGCCACATCCGCTTTGGCGCGCCGCCAGCTTCGGTTCTCACGCGAGATCGTTCTGCCCTCGGGTCGTGTTTAAGAGGCACTTTGTTGCTGCGCCTTCATCGTGATTCTCGCGCTGGCGCGAGCGGAGGCATGGAGGATCTCGGCGAAGACCAGTTCGTTGTGCACAAGAAGGGCGAGGAGGAGGAGGTCGACATGCGGCCCAGCAAGAAAGCGAGCAAAGCAAACAAGAAGAAGGCGATGCAGATGCAGAACCAGGCCGCTCCATTGCAGGGCGCTCCGGTCGAATGATTACTCTCGCCATTCTCGACGCCACATCACGACGCAGGTTGCTTCTCACTCGCAGACTTGCAGATACGATTCGTGCCGTCTCTGCTCCTGCCCATATGCGTCCGACTGCAGGTGCTTCCTGCTGCTTTCTGCACCCGCGCACTCCAGCGTCTCGAGAGGGCTTCGGCTCCGCGTTGGAGGCATCGAGGCTTCGCTCTCGCCCGCGGCGGAGGGCAGCTGACGCCGGCGCTAAGGGAAATCGTGGTGGCTTCACCAGCGGAAACCGGCGGCAGGTGGGCGGAAGCCGGCGAGAGCAGAGGCCGAACTCCCAGGGGAGGGCGTCCCCGGCGTGCGGCGGGCCCGCGTCGCGTCGGCGCGGCGACCCCGCCGCAGGCATGGAAGCCTGAACGCCGCCAGGGGCCCAGCAGGAGGAGGAGGAGGAGGAGGAGGAGGAGGAGGAGGAGGAGGAGGAGGAGGAGGGGGAGGAGGAGGAGGAAGAGGGAGGAGGAGGAGGGAGGAGGAGGAGGAGGAGGAGGAGGAGGAGGAGGAGGAGGAGGAGGAGGAGGAGGAGGAGGAGGAGGAGGAGGAGGAGGAGGAGGAGGAGGGAGGAGGAGGAGGAGGAGGAGGAGGAGGAGGAGGAGGAGGGAAGGAGGAGGAGGGGGAGGAGGAGGAGGAGGAGGAGGAGGAGGAGGGGGAGGGGGAGGGGGAGGAGGAGGGGGGGGGGTCGGGGAACACTGCAAAAGCACACGGAACCCGTACCCCCCCCCCCAACCCGAAAGTCGGGCCAAGTTCGGGGGGTCTTCGGGTGGGGTTGGGGTGGTCTGGCAGGTAGCCAGCATCGGGCACTCTGGAACGATCTGGCGACCGAAGAGCCGCCGATCGTTCAAGGTTGAACGAACCACGCGGTGTCAGGGACTGCTGGTTGGGGTCGTCACGACACGAACCTGGCGTACCCAGGGTGTCCGGAGTCCGCCACGCAGGGACCCGCTCCCGCTCGGGGGCGGCCACGAGAGGGGTGATGACTGGGGGGTGCGGATCTCAGGGCCGGGGTCGTAAGACCTCCACCGAGTCCATGCCCGCTTTTACAGGGCCGCTTTTAATACATGCTCCGCGTGCGGATCATGTATTAAACACGCAGGGATTCAGTATTAAAAACAACGATGAGTTCATGCATGCTTGTATTCATAAATTATCCATGTATCCATTAAAAAATCCTAGATTGTAAAAAATCAGATTATTAAAAAACTGCCCTGGAAGTTCAAAAGACGTTGAGATGAGGGCAGCTCTTGGCTCGGGAGGGGCTCTGGCTTTCCGGGCCGCTCCTCACATGTAGGTCGTGGAGCCCCCCCGTGGCCCAGGCTCGCCGTGGCCAGAGCGGCGCCTCTTCTCGGGGGTGGCCAGGCCTCCTGCCCTGCCACGTCGGTTAGGGAATCTGCCGCCCCTCCGTGGCCGAGGCTCGCCGCGGCCAGAGCGGCGCCTCTTCTCGGGGGCGGCCGGGCCTCCTACCCTGCCACGTCGGTTACGTAGGGAGTCTGCCGCTTGCGGTTCGCGAGAGGGCGTCGCGGCCGTCGTTGTGCGGGTTCGGGTCCGTCGGTCGGTTTCGGTCCCAGGCCGTTGTCACGAAGGGGAGGTTTACGAAAGGGAGGCTTGTCCACCGCCGGCCTTTGCTCCTTGCTCAGCGCCCCCTGGTGGTAGCACGGTGACTGTAGGTCCCCCTGGGCCCCCCCTCGGCAGCGCACGTGCTTCGGGCCACGGCTTGCGCACCCCATCTTGGACGCCCCTCCTTCCTGGACGCCCCCGAGACAGTGGAGGCCCATGCCAAGGAACACCCTGCTTGCCTCCAGTCGGGGGCGGCAAAGAGGGGGGTGATGACTAGCGGGGGGTGGATATCATGGCGGGGGCCATGCTATGACCCAGATTTCATGGCGCCTCTTCTTATTTCATCACGTCCCTGGCCCCCCCGGTGGGCCGCGCACATGCCGCCGGTCATGATTTGCACCCCCCCCCTCTTTGACGCCCCCCTCTTTGCCGCTCCCGATCCAGGGTGCCCTGAGTTTCTTGGGCTTCGATGGCTCTGCTGTGGAAAGCGTGACGCTCCCAAGCCGAAAATCTGTGGGCGCCCTGGGGTCTCTCGGGGCCGGGTTTCTTGTGGTAGGTTTCTTGTGGTCGAGCTCCTGCTGTGTGCCCGAGGCCTGAGAGGGCCAGGCCCTGGGTCACATTGTCCAGGGGCGCGAAGATGACTGCGCTTCGCGCGCCGCTGCATGTCAGAGGAGGAAGGATACCGACACCGCGGCTCGTCCTGGAGAGCCCTCGTCGCCACGGCCGGACTCTCCTCGAGGCTCTGGTCCCAGGCCAGCCACAATTGGGGGAGCTGTGGCCCTTAACCCCCCTGGGGGACCCATCGATTTCGACACCCCTCTCGAGAGATCGTCGACGCGATGGGTTCCCCCTGGGGGGGTGAGGCCTACAGCTCCCCCAGCTGTGGCTTGTCGGGGTCCAACGGTACCTCGGGAGAGATCCGGGCCGTGGCGGTATCGGTTGCTCTCTGTCCCCCCAGCAGAGGAGGAGGAGGAGGAGGAGGAGGAGGAGGAGGAGGAGGAGGAGGAGGAGGAGGAGAGTCTGGGCCAGAGGTGGCCCTTCTCCAAGGGGGGCGGCGCGAGGGCGCGAGGGCGCGAAGGTAATCGCGCATCGCGGGCCCCGGGGCGCGAAATGGGGCGACCGAGACCCGACGTGTGCAAATGGGCGAAGGCTCGGGGACCGGGGGGAGGAGGGGGGATATCTGGCTTGTCCTCCCCATTCGTTCTGCCAGCTTCCCTTCCCCTTCCCCACTCAGTCCCTCCCATCGTTCCCATTTTCCTTTCTTTCGCACTGCCGCTGTCCCTGCTGAGCGCCATGACACCATGGCGACTTCACGGCGTCCTTGGGGGCCTTCGCCTGGCTCTGGGGACGTGTCTGCGCCTACACAACTGCTCAAAAATATTGAGCCACCTGCTGACACTAAGGAGGAGGCGAAGAACCCAACCATATGCAGTTGTCAGTACCGCAGCTGCGGGTTTCATCTTCAGTGGAACTCCCCATAGGACTACGGAACGTGTGAGGGGTGTGCCAACATGGGTGCCACTGGGGCATTCGGCGAAGCTCCCTATGGGGACATGAAACACGCGCGGGCCGTGCCGACATGGGTGGCGGAAACGCATGTGAGGGCCGCCACTGGGGCCTCCAGTGGAGCTCCCTATGGGTCCCCGAAACATGATGCTGCTGCGGGGGGGGGGCCGGGATGGGTGGCGGACACGCATGTAAGCGCCGCTACTGGGGCCTTCGGTGGAGCTCCCTATGGGGCCACGAAGCGCGTGAGGGGTGTACTGGGATGTGTGGCGGGGGCGCATGTGAGCGCCGCCACTGGGCCTTCGGTGGGGCTCCCTATGGGGCCACGAAACGTGTGAGGGGTGTGCCGAATTGGGTGCGGGTGGTGACACATGCGGGCGGTACCACTGGGGCCTTCGATGGAGCTCCCTATGGGGCCACGAAACATGTTGTTGTGAGGGGCGTGCCGGGATGGGTGGCGGGGACGCATGTGAGCGCGGCCGCTGGGGCCTTCGGTGGAGCTCCCTATGGGGCCACGAAACGTGTGAGGGGTGTGCCGAATTGGGTGGCGGGGGCGCATGTGAGCGCCGCCACTGCGGCCTCCGGTGGATGATGGGGCAACGAAACCTGTCAGGGATGTGCCAAAATGGGTGTGCGGGACGCATGCGCATGTGAGCGCCGCCACTGGGGCCTACGGTGGGGCTCCCTGTGGGGCCACGAAACGTGTGAGGGGTGTGCAAATCGGGCGTGCGGGACGCATGGGGGCGGCAGCACTGGGGCCTTCGGTGGGGCCCCCTTATGGGGCCACGAAACGTGTGAGGGGTGTGCCGAATTGAGTGTGCGGGACGCATGCGGGGGGCAGCACTGGGGCCTTCGGTGGGGCTCCCTATGGGGCCACGAACGTGTGAGGGGTGTGCCGAATTGGGTGTGCGGCAGCACTGGGGCCTTCGGTGGGGCGGGCCCAGCATGGCTGGGGCCTTCGGTGGGGCTCCCTATGGGGCCACGAAACGTGTGAGGGGTGTGCCGAATTGGGTGTGCGGGACGCATGCGGGCGGCAGCACTGGGGCCTTCGGTGGGGCTCCCTATGGGGCCACGAAACGTGTGAGGGGTGTGCCGAATTGGGTGTGCGGACGCATGCGGGCGGCAGCACTGGGGCCTTCGGTGGGGCTCCCTATGGGGCCACGAACGTGTGAGGGGTGTGCCGAATTGGGTGTGCGGGACGCATGCGGGCGGCAGCACTGGGGCCTTCGGTGGGGCTCCCTATGGGGCCACGAACGTGTGAGGGGTGTGCCGAATTGGGTGTGCGGGACGCATGCACTGGGCCTTCGGTGGAGCTCCCTATGGGGCCACGAAACGTGTGAGGGGTGTGCCGAATTGGGTGTGCGGGACGCATGCGGGCGGCAGCACTGGGGCCTTCGGTGGAGCTCCCTATGGGGCCACGAAACGTGTGAGGGGTGTGCCGTGCGGGACGCATGCGGGCGGCAGCACTGGGGCCTTCGGGGGCTCCCTGTGGGGCCCGAACGTGTGCCGAACGGACGCATGCGGGCGGCAGCACTGGGGCCTTCGGTGGGCTCCCTATGGGGCCACGAAACGTGTGAGGGGTGTGCCGAATTGGGTGTGCGGGACGCATGCGGGCGGCAGCACTGGGGCCTTCGGTGGGGCTCCCTATGGGGCCACGAAGCGTGTGAGGGGTGTGCCGAATTGGGCGTGCGGGACGCATCGCGGGCGGCAGCACTGGGGCCTTCAGTGGGGCTCCCTATGGGGCCACGAAACGTGTGAGGGGTGTGCCGAAATGATGAGGATGATGATGATGATGATGATGATGATGATGATGATGATGATGATGATGATGATGATGATGATGATGATGATGATGATGATGATGATGATGATGATGATGATGA